GGGGTTTCTGGGGGGGCAGTCGGAGGAGGTGGATGGTGGCAGGGTGGGGCTACCCTCCCTGTGGACTGTCCTATTTTTTGAATGTTAAAATATGGTATCCCTGCCCTTCAGAGTACAGCTCTCCATTCATAGCAGGCTGCAGCATGAGGTCTCAGCTACCTCACTCCCTCTCCCTCTTTCCTGTTGGTAGTGGCCAAGGGAATGCTGGGAAATGTAGTTCTTTCCCTGCTCCAGGGCTGGCTCCATAGGCAGGGAGCTAACCAAGGAACTACAGCTCCCAGGGCCCCCTGTTGGTTCTCAGCTCCCCTACTGGATCCCTGCCGCCCCTGCAAATGGGCTGCCCCAAGCACGTGCTTGCTTTGCTGGTGCCTAGAGCTGCCCCTGTAGCTGAGGGGGTGAGGGAGGGCACACACACTTTGTAGGTCTGTAGGCTGAGATCACTGCACATACAACGGGCTAGTTGCATCCCTCCATTTCACCCCACAAGCTCCCCGTGCACCTGTCTCTCATCATCTGTATTTCAGAGATTCCCCCCACAACATCCACCCTGCCAGGGGTTGTGTATACACCCCATTTCCCCATCCTCCCTTACCAGGGTTCTCTGTAGGGTTGCCAGTTGTGGTTGGACGTATTCCTGGAAGTTTCATCACACAACATAATCTTTAATGAAAGATTAATCTTTAATTCCTGGAGACTCCAGGACAATCCTGGAGAATTGGCAATGCTAGTTCTCTGGTATGGGACAAGTGGGGAAATGTAGAAACCCTCCTGACCAAAACCGAAAAATAACTTCTAACTCCAGCTGCAAAACAATGTTTCTCTTTTTAGGTGAAATTCACCCCTCTGCAGAAGCAAGCTGGGAATCACACCCCTAGCTCACCGTGTAAACTTAGCCTTTGTGTAGAACAAATAGATCCTAGTACATGCATACGGGTATTGGCATACCCAATCATTTTATTTTATTTATTTCTATCATTTTATTGCTGTATTCAGGATCATTCTTCAGCATAGCACTTGGTCCACTTATTACATTTCGTTTCATATAATGTTGCAATCCTGTAAAATGAGATTGTGTTTGGATCCCTTTGCATTTTAAAGACAATCAAGACGTCTCATCCCTGCTGAGACTAGGCCAGTTTTAAGAAAGACCACTTCTGTTTTATATCAGCTTCCTTAAACTGTCTGAGCTGTGAAGGAAATCAAGTGGTTGGGGTTTTTTTGGGGTGGGGTGGGGTGGGGGAGGGATTGTTTGTCTGGGTAAACAAATATTTGCTCTTTAAACACAGTTTATTCTAGTGAAATGGGATCAATAACCTTGTTGTCTTCAAGTCAGTTCCAGCGAAGCAGGCACTCCCAATTCTTTGGAAGTCTGCTGCCTGCACACCACATAAAAACATAGGTACGTTGCTAATCTCCTCACCCATTTTTATTGCCAGCCACTAAAAATAGCAATTATTCATAGACTGTTTGCAGACTGGTAAACAGTGTTAAGGAGTTTTATTATTGCAAATCAGTTTCTCAGGAGCATAAATTAATTGTTTCAGAACAGATGCCTTTGATTACATTTTCTTCTAGCAATTCAGTCCTTGGCCTTATTTACACAGGGATGCTGTCCTGATTTCAGTTGTCAGTGGCCAGAAAGTGGGCTAAATACACCAGTGCAAACCTCTAGTGTGGACAGGCAAAGTTGCTATCCGCACTGGTAGAACTTGGCCCTACCTAAAACCAGGTCCAACTGCACTGATCCAAATTACAGTTTGCACTGCCTTCACTCAGGCTTTGTCTATGCTACAAGTGATACTGCGGGTCAACTGCAGCTACATTGCTGTAGTGTAGATGCTTGCTACAGCAACAGATGGTGTTTTTCCACTGCTGTGGTACATCTACCCTCTCAACAGGCAAGGGTGGTGTCTATACCGCGACTCAGTTTGGCTCAACTATATCTCTTAAGGGAGTGAATTTTTCACATCCTGACCAACAAAGCTAGGTCAACCTACGTCTTAGGTGTAGACCAAACCTAAAGGTTTGCACAACACCAGTGGCTGGAATTGGATCAACTCCCCTTTGTCAATAAGATTTCAGAAAAGAGAAAGTGATATATTATATATCTATATAACAGTCACAGACC